CTGTGTGTGTCAGTCAGGGAGGCTCGGGGCTGGCTCCTGTGAGCACGCTCTTCTGAAGGAAACGTGCCAAATCCTCCTTATGCAGCGAGTTCATCAGCGGGTCTCAGCCACAGGAACAAGGCTGGCTGAGCTCGCTCCTCTGGAACCGTGCAAATCCTTCCACGCGGCTGTCCAAGTGCACACGTGCGGCAAGGGCTCAGTGCCACCAACACCCTCGGCAGTCACAGGGCCGAGGTCGTGGCCGCTTGCGGGGTCAGACCCAGTGCCCACAGCAGGTGGCCATAACCCCAGACTCACCTGCTTCTTTTGGTTCCAGCTGGGCACGTGATAAACGTGCGCCGAGGGCCACCTGTTGAAAGCATATGGCCTCCTTTCCCCCTGCAGCGTCTGGATGGTCCAGCCCCCCACTGGGCCTGTTTCAGCTCAGTGCATCCTTTGTGCCAGGAGGAGACAGGCCACTCCCCAGAGAGCATGGAGTGACTCCAACCAGACCCTGCACCAGGCCCCGGTCCTCCTTGGGCTTCTTCTTAAGGATTCAAACAGACCGAGCCAGGACATCCTCTCCCCTCCCTCCCCTTCCCCATGACTCTCTGACAGAAAAATGCCTGAGGCTGGAGCCAAAGCCTTCTCCCGCATGGGGCTCCGGGCAGGCCGGGGAACGGGGCTGCCAGCCGCACCCAGAGAGCCTTCTGGACTCTGCCTCGAGCCGCTCGTACTGCACGGAGGAGGCCCTGACTCCTGGCGATGCTGCTGATTGCTTTAGCTGCCGCTTGCACTTGGCGCTGGGGTCCCCCCTGGGGCGGGAAGGGACCGGTTTTTCGATATCCCGCTGATATCAGCCAGGCCCAGCCTGCTCCCGGGCAGGGGCCCAGGGAGGGATTCTCCGGCCGGCGCGTGGAGCCCTGGGAAATGTGTCATTTCTCTTCCCTGCGGAGCCAGCGGCCTGCTCTGCCTAGCCAGGTGCTCGGAGAGCATGGGCTGACGGGTCAGACAGCACAGCTGCTCCCCTGAGCCAACCCAGCTGGTGTAGACTGCTCGGCGCTCTCCCGTGCAGCTGTGCCCAGCTTGGGGGGTCTCAGCAACACCATTGTTGCGCCGGGGTAGTCCCAGCAGGGGGCAGCGCCCCCACAAGCACCTCTGCCTCTCGCAGGCGTCAGCCCCTGAGATGTGCTGCAGGAGGAGGGAGCTGGGGTCTGCCCCGTGCAGTGGTGCTAACCCCACAGCACTGCTCTCGCTGACCGGCACCTAGCAGCATCCGGCCCCATCCCCTCCCCAGTGTGGTCACTGGGAGAGTTGATTCCAGATCCCTCTCTATGGAGGAGAGGGGATATCCCATTGTTCTCGAGCAGGGACAGCACTGTGACTCCTGTGGGGGTACTAGGCACTCTGAACCTGGCCCTTATGGTGAGAGTGGCCCTATCGTGCTGCAACACCCCCAGAAGATGAAGCCCTGTCATTGAATCAGTCTGAACGACCAGCTGTGGTTCATTCTCTCCACAGCCATGGAGGACCCTGCCTCTGCTCCTCGGCCCCGGCCAGGAAATCCAACAGCTGCCCCCAGCCCACTCCCTGCTCCACACCCACTGGCGTAGGCTGGGGTGGCCGGCAGGGCCTGGCAGAGGCAGCTAATCAAATGGGGCAGGAGAGAGGGGAGAGAGCAGCAATACTGGTTGCTAGATGGGTTTCACCTGGAGGGATCTGGGAGCACTGGGATGGAGGGGCAGGGCCAATGGAGAGGGATCCCCCAGGCTCCGCAGTGTGTGTGTGGGTTTTCTATGGTCTGCTCCCCCAGCATCAGTGGAGAAGTGTCTGATTTGGCCCATCAGGCTGCAGGCCGGGGAGGCCCAGCGCTGCGCATTGTTCCCCACAGAGGCAGGTGAGGGAGAGTCTGACAGCCGGCTTGGAGAGATGCATGAACCGCTGCGCCCCCTCCATTGGAAGGGGGCTGGGGCCGCTGGGGCCGGCGGTGCTCAGCTGGGGGCCGGGGCCACT